GGGGGTGAACACAATGGGCCCTACCGGATCATAACTTGCATTTGCCTTGCAAGAATGTACGATATTAAAATTTGAAGCTTTAAAACCGCCCGAACGTCTTTTGCTATTTTTTCCCTGGTCACCAACATGCCTCCTCGATCTCCCAAAACATTTGTTGCTCTAGCAGATTGAGCATAGCTTATTTTCACATGTTAACAAAAAATAGGATTAGGCCACACATTTTACCAAACTTTGAAGAACTGTAACTGCCTTATAAATTAAGCTATATGAGTGGTTTTGGCATAAAAAAATCTCCAAAAAAGTGAGTTCAATCAATCGAACACATCTAAACAGTTATAATGTGTGCAAAAAATTAACATTTGAATGTGCCCAAGATACGGCCAAAGAGAGATAACCGTAAAAATTATTTTGAGGGGTTTCATTTCTTGGATTAATGCCCTTTGACATATGCCCGGAAGCCTCCGCGAAACAAATGATAATAACGTGTGCCAAAATAATTAGCTAGAAAAGTTAATTCACAATACACAGCAATTCTACAAGTCATTTCTTGTTTAAATGATATTGTAAACGTGATATTTAGGCCTACCGCTTAACTAACACACGTGCATTGAGCGAAACGACACAAACCCAGCTTTTACATTTCAGACAAAACTTGGACTGGTGCTCCCTTGTTTGGTCCTGCACAAAAAAATACAAATAAATGAAAAGTCAACTACAATTATATCACAAAAAACAACTTCCTCTGAGGAGGTAAGTTAAGATTTTAAAAAAATTAAGCTATTATTTTTAACATGGCTTTGTCGACCTAAAGGAAGGTCTTTTCTCCGCACAGGCATAGGAGAATTATTTTACTGGTGATCTTTTGCTTTAGCACGTTAAATGTACTTTTACCTAATTTATAATACGGTATCATCATTTCAAATTATTCATATTATATATTTTGTTCCACTTCTACTTCTGAGATGTATAATTCAACCGTAAACTATAGGCCTACTCATGAATGTACAGTGGAAACCATATACATGTATAACAGGTCTGGTAATAACAGGGATCCAGTAAAAACAGTGATTTTTTAAATCCCAATTTTCTCCTTCTCTTTCTCTCTAATAAAAGTTATCGGCAATAACAGGGCCTCATCGGAGCCCAATCGGTTATAGAAGGGACAAAAGCTCGTTAACAATGTGTAAAAAGTAAGAGAGAGAGAGAGAGAGAGAGAGAGAGAGAGAGAGAGAGAGTAAGGCAGCGATGGAGCAAGCCCACGCAAGCAACGCCACTGCTGCAAGCACACGCAGCGGGTGAAGCGATAGAGGGCTGCGGTGTGCTGCAGACTTCAATCTAGCCCTTAGCCTAGCTACACGCACGCGTTTGTGTCATGCGTAAACCTGCCACATGACCAACACTACTGTTGGCGAGTACTTGTGACAAGGGAAAGTACCCATGAATAAATGCAACTGAATTAGTCCACAAATGCTTACCTCCCTTGCATTTCTGGTTTAACAGGGATCTGATATAACAGGACTTTCTCTATGGTCCCACCATCCCTGTTATATCAGGTTTCCACTGTAGTTTATCAGTTCTAAATGTTTGAAGTCGGGTATATTGATCATGTGTGTTGAAATATCTAGATCTAGATTTAATCTAGATCAAAGCATGACGTGTTTATGGGGTTTTTTTCCTCTTTTTTTTGGTCCTTTCTCGTGTCTCTACACTTTTCTTTCCCATTATGTCATATGTTGCGTACCTTAGTAATTCCATAGCAACCAAAATTGTTTTCCTAGTAAAACCATAATCAGTTTCTTCCCTTGATATGTGCGGTAGCATAATTATGCAGTTACAAGACAATAAAAATAAATAATTGCTTGAAAGGTTGTTTTATATTTCGACTTACGTTCTTTGAGGAAGTCAGTTTATATTACCTCCTTGCCAAAAAATTTTTCTGTTAGTGATCAAAATCCAACAGATTATAAAAAAAAAAAATCACACACAAACGTGAACAATGTACAAAATAAACAAGCCTCGGATGTAAAATAATACTTTGTTTTATTATAACTTGTATATAAATATATCATATATACGCATTCATGTGTATCCTTATAGTGTTTGAGTACGATATGTGATACAAGGTGTGTATGCCTATACCTATTTATAAATGATCTGGAAATGTTAATTTTCCATTTAGAGGAAAACAACATCAAAAGATAACCTGCAGGGGATCGACAATAATGTTTTATCATATGTCCCTACCGTTACAATTGTAGACTGTGTATGAGGTGGCCTGCTTTGAACTTAAATGTCAGGGTCAACCCACCCTTTGGGATACTATTATATCCCAGCAGTAAGAAGGAGACATTGAATAAAGTATCTTCCCCACATATTAATCAAACTCACATGCTTTGCATGCACAATAAAGAGCCTAACCATTTAACTATTACATTACAGCACAGAGAAATATGGAGTAGATCACTGATAGAAGGGATGGAGGCTACAGCAAAATGTCACTTAATTCTCTCAACTACTGCCATAACAGGAATGACTATGTATGGGAAACACTTAGTAAAACTAAAATCTTGTAGCCCTGTCCTGAACTACAACGTTTTCTGAGCTCAGTCATAATTCAAATGACCCTCGAGTCAGAGGTAATTTTGCAGCACCTACAAAACCAGCTCGCCACGGCAATATCTCCAGATGAATACAAAGGAAGAAAGGGAGACAGAATTCAATATACTCTTTAAAATAAAATAAAAAAGAGAGGGGCTGGAGGATGCACTTAAAAAAAAAAAACCCTGCAAAATCTCTTGGCAACGTTCTGTCACTAAATGTAGTAGAGGAGAAGAAAAATTAATGGTGACCCTGCCTGTGCTAGAAAACACAACAGTTTAAGTCTTATATTATATACTATATAGCCTATATATACTGATAAAACAAGGATTTAGTAACTCTTACATGAACAATCTGCCAGGTAAAGAGAGATTAAAATTAGAACTATCTTGTTTATATGGTTACATGTCAGTGTTTTGTGGTGAAGTTTACCAGTGCTTATGAGGCTTAATGTCAGTGGATGGGTGTGGAGATAAAATGAGGAAGGAAGGGGGGAGGGGGGAGGGAGGGGAGAGAGAGAGAGAGAGAGAGAGAGAGAGAGAGAGAGAGAGAGAGAGAGAGAGAGAGAGCATGTGTGTGTTTATGTAATAATTTTAAGTATATTCACTGCTGTTGCATAAGATGAATTTCTCCCACTGAGATCAATAAAGTTTGTCATCTATGTCTTTCTCCTCTGCATAAGTTGTAACGTGGAAGTCCTAAGAGATCATATTCTACTGACTTATTATGCTGAAAAGCACATAGGAATAGACAAAAGTCAAAAACTCAGATAACAATAAGCTTGATGGGTGACGCTGAAAATCTCTACAATTTCATGTCATAAAGACAAACTTTAGAGAAGCTGTTAAAAAAAAGGCGAAAATTTGTTTCAGAGCCACCATCAAAATTGTTAAAGATTTTTACTTCCGCTATATGGTACAGAATTTACATAACTTATGTATGTACTGTCATATTCTAAACATCTCTTACAATTTTTTTTGCTCCCCAAATCTTAAAATTTCAAAGAATCAAAGTACATATCATATACATTGAATGTTCTTTTCCATGTAGAACAGTAGCAAAGCTGAAAGCATCTTAGAAAGCATAGTGCAATTCCTCTACGCCACTCACTTAAGAACCATTACTCATCAATCCCCACACACATGCACACAGATACACTTTACATTACAGACAAGTGAGTAAAGATACTCAAATGTGTGACCAAAAACGTGAAGAAGATTTGAAGTTGATGTTTTAGTTTTTAGTTTTAGCAGAGGTTTTACGGCGCTCGCAACTGCATAAGGTCATATGAGCGCCAGAAGATTAGAGGTGTTACAAGAGAGTAACAAACATAAAAAAGAAGGAGCGGAGAGAAAGATGATAGATGTTTGATAGGAAAGAACAAGCAAACACAAGTTGATGTTTGAAACCTTTTCAACTGCTCAAACCATACACACAGTAAAACAGAAATAATAAACCCAGCTGCCTGTGTTCAGTCTGCAGATACAAAAAAAAACCCAGTGAGTGTAAAGTAATGCACTAACCACTTGACTGAGAGTCATTCTGAGCAACTTTTTTCCCCTGTCAACACCAATTTGACTGCTCCCCATTCCACTTCTCAACATACCTTCTTTTTTTTTGTCTGGGAAAGCTGAGTTGGTTTTCGGGGGATGGGAAGGGAGTGGGGGCGGGGAATAAACTCTTGAGCCAAAATGGGCATCATAGGATGAAAAGAAAAAAGGCAAAATAGACTGACATTTCTTACCTTGTGTTTGGAGATTACTAGTATCATTTAGGAAATATTATGAGATGTTTTCTTTTAACACCAGTCAGTGAGCAACTATTTGTATATATATATATAATATATAACAATATAAGTAAGAAAATAAATGCAAAGCGTAAGAAAATTTTTTTGAAGATATGGGGCATGACAGAGGCACCCTGCCTATTCTATGCAGTGATATGTTCCTTTGATAGGTTTGTAAATAATGAATTAATGTGACAAATATTAGGGAGTAAAATTAAGCACAAATAAATAGTGAATGTGAATATGATACAGGTGCTCACTGAATATTGCTGGAGCCTGTCGTAAAGTGGTAAAGTCCGGTAAGATTCCAAAAGAATGAAATTTTTTGGCCTCATTCTTTCTCTTTATTTCAGCTAATAACAATTGAATAAATGAATTTGGGATTGATTTCAGCACATTTCTTTTGTGTCTAAAAAGAGTTAAAGTTCAACTACAAAAATATATCAAGAGCTTCCTGATCAAAGATTAGACTGGGAATAAAATCATATTAAAAAATACTCCAGATCGATTCTAATGCTCCAGTCAGCATTCAAGTGAAGTGGTATGTTTTTTGTATTGTTTAATAAAGTTAAAAACACAGTGAAAAATATGGCCAATAGTTCCCATGCTCTATGACCAGTTGCCAAAAAGACTGAACACATAATTCTAATTTATTGAATAGTAAACCAACTATACATCTGAAATATGAGGGAGGAAAATACCAATAAAAAGCTGATGGATGACAGAGGTTTTACTCAACAAAGACATAAAAATCTACAACACACAGGCATGATAATGAAACTTTGATGACGTTAAACTATCTCCTTCTTCCAGGGCAAACCAGGGCACTGAGAGCTCTGGACTTCAAGAAAACACATCAACGAGTCAAAAATTGACACGTCATTGAGTCACACATTTATGGCGAGTTGGCCCGACAATGGCCTTATTTTGACGAAAACAGACAAGAACAACACAAACATAAACAAGAAGCTAAGGGTATAGACCAGCGCAGAGCAAGCACCCGCCAACTGCCAGTCATCAAACCACATCTATGCATTTGTTTCTCCAAAGAAATTATGAGATTTGCAACTTGGGACGATGATTTGGACTGGGTAAATATTATGCTATGAATAATTATAAACAAAGTAAGACAATATATAAACTTGAGTAGCGATATTGTGATTCTACCAGGTATATAAATCGAGTCAATTGCACCAACAATGGGACATAACTCGATGTGTATTTTTGCACCTTTATCACAAATACAGCCAAATATTGTACACAATCTTCACAACACATTCTAAAGACGTGATCAGTTTAGGTCCAATACATCACCAAAACTACTCGAGCTACGACACATCTGAGGCACAAAACAAATGGACGGAAAAGGAAGGTATGTCACCGTTCTGCTGCGTAAAATAAGTGGCTTGTCAAAGACAAAATGTCATACTTCATTTTTATTAAACAAGGCGAATATTTCCTCAAGCTTTCGTTCAGTAGTAATACAGTTCTGTAAACTACTCAAATCTGACAAGCCACTTATTTTTCCTGATCAAGTGACATAAAAAAATATGCGATAAAAACAACCCAATGAACCAAGCGTAAAATAAAGTAAAATATCACAATTTGAACATTGACTCATCAGTTATAACACATATATCAGTGTCAGATTCAGAAGGTGGTTCTCATCTCATGATTATTACTACTCTTCTACGTCTACACATCTTTGGTACCAGCACTGGTGAATACACCACTGAGAATATATCTTTAGAAGCACTGATCATTCTTGTTAGACAAAACTGTTGTTCACGGCAAACCACCTTCTGTGAGGAAAGATTAAATGGTTAACATCCTTGCCTAGACAATTTAGATCATTTGAGAGGTAGGCTGCTTTTGGTCTTCCACCTAGGGCTAATTCCAGCCGAGTTGGATAGCAGCATTAAGAAAGAGATACTCACGGATTTGTCTTTTACTAGAAGAAAAAAATCCAACTCATGTTTTCTTACGCCCAAGACAAAGAGGCTATTCCCTACAGCACAGGTGCCAGTCTGATAGGGACCAAAGATGTAAAAAAAAACATCAATCATCTCACCAGACAGTCTCAACAAGCCTTAGTGATGTTCTTTGTATCTTTGTTCATAAAGCAAGAAAAGGCACTCCGCTGAGATCCGAATCATCATGAGCTCAGGTACCGGTATCAATAGTCACGCCAAAATACTTCAGGCAGGTAACATTTGGGTCGAAATCATTCGTGAATATATATTTGCTGTAGCTCCTACTGATCTTTTAAATTAAAACATGCACCTCAGACACAACATACATGATAAATATTATGAGATGCTGTGTGTTCATTTCAATGTTCATTAAAGTGGACGGTATTATGATAAGTGGCTAAGTACCAGCGCCAACAACAGAGGTGAAAAGACCATGGGTGTCAAAAGCTATCAACTTGTCACAGAGTCCCTTGTCTCTCGCTCTTTGGGGAAAAAGAGAAATCGAAACTAGAAATCAAAACAAGGGGTACCCTTTAAGTGACAAGAACCCAAAAAAGCATTGCAAATGAGAAATTAAAAATCTCAAAACGTGAACAGGAATATGAAACTAAAACACAAGCTCACTTCACAACTACACCTTGTTAGACAATAATCCTTTCAGCTCTATCACACAATGACTTTTGGACAATTTTGAACGAGAAAACCGGTTGTTCCCTTAAATAATTCTGAGATGTCATTCGAAAACACTCACATTACTCACAAGCTTTCACAACAGGGTTATTTACTTGGAATCCCCCTCCTCCTTTCAGCAGAGCCTCGCATACTTTTTCATCAGCAAAAGTTTTTAAAAATCCAATCATTCATCTAACCTAATCAAGTTAGACATTCATCAAACATACACACACAAACAGACACATACACACACACACACACACATACACACACACACACACACACTCACAAGCAAGGTACCGATACCACATAGAACACAGCTTCTCTATTGATCACCTTAAGCTGCACAGATATCTCTGAGTTCAAGACTTTAGAAAAAACATTCACCTTCTTCCTCAAGACAACTGTCCAAACCACACTCTGAATATATACACAGGAACACGTAAAACTCTTTGGGAAGAGCTCAAGCCTATTTCTTAGGTATCAGCATTGTGAGGTGACAAAATATGAGAAAGCCCTATGATCAGCCACAATGCTAATATGCTCATAGTAAAACTGCTCTCAATTTTTATTGGGTTCGCCTTGTAAAACTATTTGTCTCCAGTAAGAAGATAGCAATGGGGATTTTAAGGAAAATGCTGGCATGTTTAAAGTCACTCTCAACAACCATTATTTTTTTCAGTGTAATAAATCATAGCTTTGAATACAGTGCCAAACAGGCACTTATCTTAAAATTTACATAATGCAAACAATAAATCTTTCTGGGATAAGATAAACAAATACACCAGACATTTTATTTCCCACTATATTTCTGCTGAAAATACTCAAGGAAAAAAACCATCCTATTTTCATGTCATTTAGTATCCTGCACTCATCATTACGGCTTCACTGAAGGTCAATATAGCAGTTACTGCTAGATAAAGCAAATAACCCTCATAAGCTAAAATGTTTTTCCAGATAAATGCTCACCAGTTCCAAAGAGCACAAAGTTCGAAATGCGTACAGGATCTAATGTACGACTCCTAATACAATACATCTATCATCACAATGCCACTTTGCTGGCAACACTTGGTCAAAATCACAAATGAAAGGAATGCTGACAAAACGAGTTATTTCTCCCATTTTAGCTCTGTGGACATTGATAGATAGATCAAATAATTTATGAGTTGACTTTTACTTTTACCAATTTATTAGCAAGAAATGATGTTGTTGTTGTTGTTGTTGTTGTTGTTTTCAAATCCCTTTAGCTGCGAGCATTTCGCTCTTGGCAGCGCAATGCCTCCCTCAAGTAACCACATGTTCTAATGCAAGAAATGATAAAAGACATCCTGTTAAACTTGAAGAAAATATCATGAGTTGAAAATCTACAAATTTGACCCTTGTATCAGTTTTCTGCCGGTATCACCATTCGCGGACTGCGGGAAGTAACTCTTTTTGTCGAACACCTCACAAATACTAAAAGCTGTCAGGGAAGAGAGCGTTTGTTGGTAGAGGCGAAGCCAGGCTATACACAGTACTTTCTCTTGAGCAGGTCGATGTAGTCATGGCTGGCCTGAGTGAAGGAGGACGTGAACCGGGCGGCTTCTTTGCCTGGCCTCAGAACGGGCTTGTTGTGATTGTGAGGGGCTGGAAATAGAGTACGAATAATGGAATAATACAGGTTTGTTTCGTTTCAGTTTTAAATCGAGTTAAACGGCACTTGCAGTAACACCAATAGGTCATATAAGTGCCGAAGATTATATGTGTTACAAGAGAGTAACACACAAAGAAAATAAAATAAAAGGTGATAAGGATGATGGATGTTTGATAGGAAAGAAGGAGCAAACCACACTACAGCACCCGCCAACAACTGATTACAGGTTTGTATCATTAAAATAAAACCATTGTATGATCATTTAATGAACAGGACCTCGATATTTCATGTAATCTCTGGCATAGCAGAGCAAAGTGAGCAGAGAGCCAGGAAAAGTTGAACAAACCCAACTTCAAGAGTATCCCATTCGAGATTCGAAATAGGTTAACCTGCACAGTAGTTCTGCAGTATACCAACCGAAAAATCGAGCATTTATTAAGACTATCAACAGAGAACTCTGAAACTTTTCAAATAATCTCGCACTTAAAGAGTAAAACATGAAAGATGGTTTACAACAAGAAACAAAAATTATCATTTTCTACCAACACGACTGTGTAGGCCTGAAGGCTTATGAATTGTCCAATAGGTAAATTAAATTTGGTTTTAATGATCCAGTTCAGCAGTCATTTGAATATGCATCTCTCATCTATAACGTAAAATTCAGAGGTCTTAAAAAATTTGTTTGTGTTTGGAATACAGAGCATTTCTAACGTATGGTTCTGACAACAATAAATGCAAATGAAACTCACCTAGCACTGGTCAGTCAAAGTCAAAGGGATAGTGGAGAATAGTTTGATAAAACCTTTAATATAATTTGAGAATGCTTTGAGTGTCACTTTCGTCACAGGGATGAACAAAAAGAGTACTTTTCTTTTTCATAAGTTTTCTTCTTTTTTCAAGAATTAAAGAGAAAAATAAATTGAAAAAAACCCCAACAAACACACACAAACTTTCTTAAAAACCCAAAAAACCCAGAGATCATAGTTACCTGCTTCTAAGTGTTTGGCAATGCTTCGGTCTAGCTCTGCTTTGATCTTGCTGCTTAGCTCATCGTCATGGATACCGTTGACTCGGACGGCCTCGAAGCTGTTGTTGCTGACGATGGAGCTGTTGAGGTTCCCTATGCTGCCAGTCAGCCGGTTTCTGTGCATCCTTTCAGAGCTGGGAGAAAACAAAAACAATAAGCAAAAGAAAAGATGAGCATCAATTTCTTTCACTATTTTTTAAAACAAAAGTGGGCGTCTTCAGCATCAAAGTCTTGAATTTCCTGCATTCATTCTTAAATAAGGGAAAAACAATTAAAAAAAAAATTATTTTAAAAATATAATGGGGAAGTCAGTCAGACCCTAGTTCTAAATGAGTTGCATCAGACAGAAAGCAGGGACAGGCATTTGATTTTTAACAAACACAAATAGAGAAAACACACACAGACACAGACACACAGACACCACAAACACACACACACACACATACACTGGTTACACTAACTTGAGCTTAGACTCGAGATTTAATTTGAAATATAAACCTTTGTCAATGGTTAGAGTCAGTTGATCATACATCCTCATCCACCATTCCATTACCCACAGATATACACATAAATAGACCAAACAGACACAGAAACACACACACATACAAACACCCACACACTCACAAACAACACGAGACACACACACACACACACACAAAACACCAAAACAGCTGGTCCCTTTTACACTTTTACAGTACAGGCCCCTGAGCTTTGACTTGAGCTTGAGGTTACAGCCTTTGTCTTTGGCCAGAATAAACTGATCACTGATTTTCACCAGCCATTTCATCAATAGATATACACATAAATAGATACACACACCAAAAAAACCCAAAAAACCCACACACAGACACACAAAACAACAGGTCACTTTTACTTGAGGTTTAAAGCCTTTGTCTTTGACCAGAATAAACTGATCACCGATTCTCATCTGCCATTTCATCACACACAGACACACACACACACACACACACACACACACAAACAAACAAACACACACACACACAAAGACACGCACACACACACACACAAAACAACTGGTCAATTTTACTTGTGCTTTAACTTGAGGTTAAAGCCTTTGTCTTTAGCCAGAATAAACTGATCACCGATTTTCATCAGCCATTTCATCATGCACAGACATACACACAAATAGAAACACACACACACACAAACACACACACACACGAGACTTGGTCCCACTTACTTGAGCTTGGACTTGAGGTTAAAGCCTTTGTCTGTGGCTAGAGTGAGCTGATCGCTGATTCTCATCCGCCATTTCATTTCGGACTCGTACAGTTCCCGGAACCGACGGGCCTCCATCTCTTTAGTCTCCCTCTGGGCCACTGCCTGCTCGTACTTCACTCGCAAGTTGTTGTTCTCTTCCTGAAAACATCATGAAGGCCAACATCCACTAATGAACAGGGTTGTGTGTTTTTTTTTTAAGGAAGAGGCTAGCCGTACTTAACGACGGCTAGACTGGCAGGCTAGGCGCACTTAATAATGATGGCTGAATTGTAAATAAAATTTTAGTTTACAATATCTAAAGTATTTGTATTTCAGACGAAACCAAAAGGTGCCTTACTGACATGCATGTATTTTAAACCTGAATAATTACTAGCTCTAATGAGACCGGTGTACTCAACAGGTTTCGGTCAATAGGGCCTAACCTAGATTGGCCGTATTTAAGTACGGCAAGCCACTTCGTTTTTTAAAATGTCTGGAGCCATAATAACAACAAGTTTTTTTAAGCAGGTGTTTTTACACCTCTATCAACACAATTTAGTTCATTATTTAGGAGGTAGGCTTCCGACCCTGCTTGTCAGGGCCAACCCACACTTAGAGAAGACACTTTTCAAATTGAAAACATTATGATTGAATTTGAACATTTATATCATAATATGTTGAAATTAACACACTTTATGGATTGGTACGCATTTGCGGAAAAATAGGTACTTTTAAGGCCTGCCTCATTGCAAAATGTAACTTGCTTTTTCCTTTTTACAGTTTCTCAAGCACACAATTAAATAAGAAAATAAGAGGAGATATGAAATTTTCTTTTAAAAAAGTTCCATCAAGCGTGCAAGATTTGGCAGCAACTCTAATCCTGCAGGGACAGTTCCTGGAAAACACTTTATGTTAGAAATATAAAAGAGAAAACGTGAAAAATAAAAAAGTGCACAGATGTAGAAAGGAAAATAAAAGGAAAGATGGAAATTAAAAGAAGTACCTAAACATGGCAGCTATTGAATTCTAAATTTAAAAAAAGAGAAGTTCTAGCACAAAACTATAATTGGTCAATAATAAAAACCATGACAGAGCTCTCCAACTGCAAAGTTTTGTTTATTGACAAGTCTTCTAGCAGTCAGAAAGCTCAGTGACGTCTTTTTATGACTGGCCAATGATGTTAGTCATGACTTGAAAGCAAGCGTTGACAGGGAAAACATAACTTCTATGGCAACAGGGAAAAAAAAAACCCAAAACAAAACATATATTATATATTCCTTTCACATTGGGGGACAACCATGAAGAGGTTTTGGGGGTTTCTGGAAGGGGTCTTTTTATGTTACCAATCAGGCTTGCCAACTTTTTCAAAACCCAGTCAGGGACACCCAACTTTATGATATTAGATAACACAAAACGCGAACAAAATTACATACAGTGGGATTGGTTTTGGAGTGGTGTTTGTGATAAGACTAAGACCCTAAAATTGCAGATTGCTGAATCCGGGACAGTCCCGAGAAATTCGGGACAGTTGGCAAGCCTGTTCATCACCGACGCCATTCGTCGATAGAATCGTGAGGCAGACGAGAAACCTAGGACGCCACCCACCTCCAACTTCCGCTTGTCAAACAACAAGTTGGTCTCCGCCTCCGTCCGTGACGTGTCTAACCGGTCACGCAGGAGCGACTGCGTGTCCAAAAAGCGGTTGACGTCATCCAGTTTGCGGTTGAGCTCCAACCGGTAGCGTGCCTCCAGCTCCGAGCGAAGGTCACCACCCCCTGCCTCCCCCATCTGCGCCTAGAGTAGGGAGTTAGACAATGCTGAGAAAGCCGCTGGCTGCTCACTGAGACTAACTTAACTCTTAGTATGTGGAAGGCTAGTGCTCTTTTGTACTTAATTGTACAGAGGCCAATTTTGTCATCCAAGCTATCGGCATCACCAATTTCCTAATAGCTCCATTCCTATTTAACATATTAGCTTAAAATAAACACCCAATCTGGGCAGGAATGACTGGTCCAAGCATTAAACATACTGTTAAATAATACATATTATTTCTTTCTGAGCTTTGGTAGATTTTTGTAATGACTGTACACAACTGAGTGATGCCGTAAGCCAGCTGAACTAGTGCACCGCATACTAGGAGTTAAAGAAATATAACGAGGGTGGGTGACCAAACTATATCTCAAGATACAACAATTCAGGGTGATGAAAACCCTGAATCTGCTCCTCCTATGCACAGCCAAAGATGCAAAGATGGAATACTCGTATGCGTACACTTAATAAATAAACATGTACTTTACAAATTCTTTCAAAAACGCATTTCTCAGTTTTTGTAATAATCACTTTCTTACTGTTTTGACGCAAGTCAAACTTTGTGTTGTGCCTTTCTTTCAAGTACCTCTCAATGCAAAAACATCGAATCCTGAGATTCGGTAGCAATTCTTGGCTATTTGTATACTTATAAGTTGACCATTTTTTAAATACAAGGAGTACCCCATAATATATCACACAGCTAGCAGATACAAATAAATGTCATATCTTGAGATCTAAAAATAAGTATAAGAGTAAGTCTGGTCCTCTACCCTCGACATAGAGATGCCACTTCAAGAACCTTGAGTACAGGTGTCAACGTAAATAATATTTTAAAAAGTATTGTTTCAATCACCAATCTCAAAGCCCCTTTCCTTAAAAACAAAAAAGGAAAAAAATTATTTTTTAAATTAAAAAGTCAGTATTGCATCTTTTGAATGTTAAGAGGAGGTCAGGAGTTCATAATAAACTTTTACTTAGCATTTTATATGTCAGAGAATAAAGAATCCCTTAAGCACGAAGTAATAAGTCAAGGAAAAAAGTGGCGTCTCTCTAGCAAAATTAAAAGAAAACGAGAACTAAATTAATAATAGCAGATGATTTGTACAAAATTTGCACACTTTTCATTCAGTAAAATAAGTACGCTTCCAAATACAATAGAAGTGACTTTTAAAATACAGTGTTGGAATAACAGTATACAACAGTTGCTGACAATAACTATGCAACAGTTACTAACAATGTTTGAATCAATTCATTCATTCAATAACAAATACTTTACAAAGGTTCCCTCTGTAACTATTTGAAACTGTTCACCTGAGCCTAAAAATAAAATAGGAAAAAGAAGTAAAAATATAGACCCAGATCACAGAGGAAAGTTATCAGAAAAAATGAAGGTGCAAAAGAAAAATAAACAAAGAAAAGAAGAAAAGTACAACATTCTGATAAGAGAGAACATTAATACGCACATCAAATTAATTAGCTTGCAACCCCAATACTAAAGTGTGTGTGTGTGGGGGGGGGGGGGGGGGGTGTGAAGAAGACATCACAACTAGCCCATTATAAGTTTCTGTTCCTGTACAAGATCAATGACATAGATCTAATACACACACACACTCGCGCCATAAAACACTTTACAAAAACAAAAAAACACACACACACACACTCGCGCGCGTGCATGCACACACACGCACACACACTGACACACACACACATCAATTCAAAAGCGGGAACCAATACTGGGTTTTTCTATATTTTAGTAGTCAGCATTCTCTGCTGATAAAATCTGAGCGAAATAAGCCCGCTAGAAGAAACAAAGTATCATGTTTAAGAACACTATCCTGCCAGGGAAGGGAGTTGTGCCCCCTATAGGTGGAAAAGCAAACTGTTCACAATCTTTTTCAGGAGTGTTGAACAATGTATTGACTAATCATAGTATAACATATTACTTCAACCAGAATGGCACAGAATGAGTTTTGAAACAAAATTATACATACAAACCAACCAACATTAATACACTTACACACGCATACGCTTTTTGCGTTTTTTTTACTATATCATTATAATAACACAGCCCAAGAGGGCATGTCTAAGAATAAAATGACCACTTTTCTATTCGACAAAGGGTGGACGTCTTGGACAGATTCGACAGTATATTTATGCCTAAGAAATACTACTATAAATAGTCACTACAAACCCACGGTCATTGATATACTAATGCCACCACTGGTACTGATGGGGACGTTGCATTTCTTTTACTTTCATAAAATAGTAGTGCTTTATCTTTTAACACCACTTTCGCTCTTAATGAGTGGAAACAGGCAGTTCAGATTCTTATTAAAAAACAGTTTATTATTATGTTCTTTTTTTTCAGCTGTTGCCATCGGCTTTATTCAGGACGAGCTGTTTCGTTCTTCAAACAGAGGAATATCCTATCTTACAGATCAATATCTAACTCAAGTGATAAGGGTGAAACACACACAATAACACAAAGTCACACAGAGTGAAAAGCGCTCCGCATGTTGAGACTAATAAGTTTTTTCCCATAAAGACATGTAAAGTCTGGAATATGCATTATCATATATACAAACAAGTCAAAACTCTATCAAAGCTGAATCGAAAGTCATTTCTTTTAAAAGAAAAGTTTTTGTGAGTCATCCATTGTTCTGGACATTACTCCCTTTTCTACTAGGTCTCTTATACTACACTACCAAAGGGCCCAAGACAGTCTCAAACCAGTTAGTTAGTTAGTTAGTTTGTTTGTTTGTTTGTTTGTTTGTTTGTTTGTTTGTTTGAATAAAGAGAAGCACATCAACAAAATGTAATTTCGAAGGTGAAAATCCCCAACTTCAGAGTGAAGAAATATTTAATGCTGAATGCCGCAGGGTCAGTTCTGAAACACTGCACACAAAAAAAAATCCACACTGGAGGTGAAAAACAATGCAACACTGCACATGGTCAGCTCGTCAGGTACATCACAGAAACCACAATACGTACTACGCTTTAGTAATTCAGTGGACTGATGAGAATACTACCTTCAAATAGAGCACAGCTAAAACTGACATTATAGGGTAAAGACTTCCCTTCTCATCGAACAAAGATGGTTAGACCAAACACTCAAAAACACACAGCAAATTAACAGAAGTCCTTATTAATGAGGATATCAAGACCTTTGAAAAGTAAGAAAAGGAAAAAAGGCATTCTTTTAATCACATACAACATTTCGCCTTTGTAGGCTAAGGAAATCCTGACTATAAGTTCTACAAGCAAATCTCCAAGTAGTTTAAATAGAAAATGGAAAAACCCCCAGCTTGCAGCAATAAAATAGTGCCACAAAACCACATGATACACAGTCAACATAGAGACATTGATGAAGGGAGATCCTACAAAACAAAACATCAATCAGTAGGACACACTTCTTTCTTTTTGAATGAAGGTGTTTTAAAGCCCCATCGACACAATTTAGATCATTTAGGAGGCCGGCTTCCAATCCTGCCTGTCAGGGCCAACTCGGGTGAGAGGGATACAACGTCTCAGCAGAAAGACTGAGGTACTCGATAAAGATTTCTCCCCCACTAGGGAATCGTAGGTCTACTCGGGTGTCCTTTGTGCAGCAGCGAAGTGCCTAAACACTACATCATCCACACAGGTGACCCATCTTACAAAGAGCAATTCTGGAGGCATTCAGAGAATACGAGGTCGTGCATCAAAGTCAAGACAATTATCATTAGTAGTTCAATCTGTTAAATGACCTCTCACATTTGTGCCAGTCTAAAAAAAAACAACCAACGTGATGTTATACATTCAGCATCCGGAATTAGATCTTTTGTTCGAAACACAGTTTGAAAACCGCAGCATCTACGTAAAACCGTCCGTGAATTGAGCACTGCAGGGGATGGCATATCGTCGGTGTCGCAAGCAATCCACTTTAAGTCTGTTTGAGTACTTCTTACACTAGAGACCACCCCCCCTACTTTTGTTGCGTTATTCCTATCAGGAATCATGAAAAGCAAGAAAATTTTAAGCCTAGACCATGGCATTAAACTGTATTATGGTAATGCTGAAAGGTGCATCTTTGATCTAAAGTTCTCAAAATTTGGACATAAGTGGACTGCTTTTGATAGCGACGATATATACCTCAAGGAAACGAATCTCGTGCTCCATTCTCCGCCGGGAGCGGTTCATTCTGTTGACCGACTCACGCATGGCCAGCACGTCCCGCAACAGGGGATGGGACGTGTCCATATCGGCCGCTGGGGCATTCAGCTTGAGGGATTAAGGGACGATGGTCGTTTGTTCGTTTGTTTATGTATTTGGTTGAGTAAAATACAGAGAATTATTTCGATAGAGTAACCGTCATTTAGTGTATGTAAAAAGTAAAAAAAGACATCGTTTGATTGTTTGTTAATTCGTTCAAGTACAGAGAATCATTTCGACACAGTAATAGTCATTAAGTGCATGGACAAAAGTAAGAAAGACAGACAGAAAGAAACAACAGAGGAGAAGAAAAGAAGTGGGATGTACCAGTGGCACTTTCCAACCACCTGCGAGACATGATATGAAAGCTCAAGATTTGTCTTAAAAAGACTTCTGTTGCTTTTGTTCTAATGTAGGTATAAATTTACCACTACGGAACAGCACTTTGCCTCTGGTTACAGAGAATTCTAGTTTCTTTTTGAACATTTATTAGGATTTATCAGACAGCGAACAGCTCTTTGCCTATGGAAACGAAATCTCTCAAACAGTTTTAAAAATGAATAAATGCAAACCTGCAGAAGCTCTCTATTGGGGAAAACTATGTATGTAGATTTAATAATAGTGTTGCGACACGGTGGAATCAGGCGCTCGCCAGTTTTAGGGCTTATGGAATTATTACTTAATGTCATCTTAAAGCATGTTCATTTTCTTGCTTTTGATGAAAAAAAGATTCACTGATCTTGCTTAGAAGTCGAGATATTTGCAACTGAATGAGGTGGAGGTCACCTGTTGTCACAGGTAAAATTTTTGAGAAAATGGCCATCAAAGTTTACCGATGGAGTCTACAAATTAACACTTTTTTTTAGCTCCTTAGATCAACGCGTTTCAGTAAAATCTACACAAAAATTATCGTGTTTTTAAATGGACAAAGAAATTAATTGTTGAGGAAAAAAATGGATATAAACTGCTATAAGTATAAGATTTGTTTGATTTCATTATTCTGATGAGCGCCTGAATTCACCACAGTACCACACAATAATAATTATTATCTACAGTTCATCTCTATACCCAACGTGTGCTTGGTGCGTTAAACAAAGACAGGGTCAGAGGTCAGAAAAGCCATAAAAGTCATCACCCTTGTGTAGTTCGGTGCTATCACACTCCAAAACTTGCTTCACTTTAACTTCACTAGCAAAGGAAATACGAAGAAATATTTTTAATTTCTCTGAATAGTTTTCTTGTGAACGAAAAGAAGAAAAAGCAGCTTTATTGACCGCAGTGGGGAAATTATAATCAGAGGACTTGTAGCCATTTGAATTATGTATAACGTCCCCATCAAAATCACTCTCAGAAGATTCAAAGCATCGTAAGAATAATATACTGCAGTGCGGACACCTCAGAAAAAAACCCAACAAAACACTACAACGAATTTTCCTGATCATAAAAGAATTTGCAAAGAATAATAGTACTAAGAACATTTTTAAAAATCTCTCTCATTGACAATCTAAAGCCCTGCTAATAATTAGGTTCAATCTGATGATGCGGTGGGGGATTTTTGGAAGGGGGGGGAGGGTGAAAGGGGTGGGCAGCAACTCCTTCCCGTAAAGAAAATATCGCTTCAGAAATGCTAGCAAGATTTCACTCATGTTAATTCCAGCTGAAAGACGTGAGACACAGTGGTCGAGTGAAAGCACGTCCATGATAAGACTTCAAATAAAACCACATAAGGTTTAGCG